TTGCTCCTGCTGCCTTGGTTGGTTTTTCTTTTTTTGGTTGGGGTTGTTTGGGGGGGGGGGGTTGTACAAATTTAGTGATTCTGAATTTTCAGGACCCCCAAAATTACCTGGGGGGAAATTCAAACTGGTAACAATACTTCCAAAAACTCAGGATAATGAAAAAACTAACCAAAATCCAGATCCAAAATTGCTGCAATTTTTTAAAAATGCAGATTTCTAATCCCATGAACAATAAGAACTAAACCACTGTCCAGATATAAAGAGCTTTCAGCCAACATTTTATCTTGATTCAACTTCAGCTTAGGAAATCTTATCTAGCCCAACACCATCCCCATACATTGGACCTTCACCTTCACTGCCCCATTGGATTGAGCTGATAAGCAGAAATAGAGTTGGGTATCATTAGTATATTGATGACATTCCATCCCAAATCTCTCGATAGCCTCTGTGAGCACCTTCAAGTAGATAAAAAGCATGGGAGCAAAAAAAAAACACCAAAAAAACCCTCAAGCCATTTTGGGCCCCCAAAGTAGCCAAGTGACAGAGCTATAGTAGGGCAGAAACCAGCTTCTAGAATCTCCTTTTCAGGTAGGTGCAGACCCAACAGAGCATGGTGCCCCCAACCTCCAACCCACCAAGGTATTCCAGAAGAACACCATGATTAGTGATATTTAAAACCACCAATATAGCAAGATGAATCAAGAGGATAAGCCTCCTCATGTCTCACTCCTAATCAATGTTCCCTCTAAGATGTGGAGTCTCATGAGCAAAAATTCTACTTTGTGAGCTACCGGCATTAAAGTTGTGAGTGAGAGATTTGGCTACTGCATCAATCAGTTTGCTCTGGAGCGATCCTTCCTGAGCTGAGACAAAAATGTGTGAGCCAGAGGCTAAAAAAAGATGAGCTAGCTCACACTAACTCAGCTTAGAGGGAACACTGCTCCTAATATACTTAAGCTACCAATTTCTTTGTGTCTGAATCAAGATTGTAGTGGGTCCAGATTAACAGTTTTATCCAGGAATGCCTGGACTGAGTGACCACCACTCATTGTAATACCTATCCTAGAAAGGAAACAATGGGTCAATAACATGCTTAGTCTTTAAGACCTAGATGTCAGTTTTTTTCCCGTAGTCCTAACCACTGTGAGGATGGTTCCACCTCATCCTTGGGCTACAGCAACTGAAACACATATCAGCAACAGTTACAGTCTGGTGTCTTTATTTACTGTGGCTTCAAGATCAGAATGGGTGTAAATAGTTTTCTATGCAGACCACTGTGATGTAGTAGTGAGCTGTCTTTGTTCACCATAGTCACCACTGAAGAGCGCAGAGTAACATGAGCTCTAGCCTGTGTTCCTGTATTTGTTTTGAGACTTCCTGGACCATTGGTTCAGCTCTTGTCTCTGTCCTTTCACAGCCTTCAGTTCCTCAGGAAACCAAGATGCTAAACAGGGCTCTGTTCAAGGAGAAAGGATGTTTAGGGGCAATTGTATCAGCAGCCCCTGTGTATTTCAGAGACTAACCAGGGACTTGATACAACTATCAGCATGTGCTGCAGAAGCTCACAAGGCCAACTTGGAAACCATTTGGCTCCAGTGATGACTGATTCAGGGGTCTTTTTGTAGAAAAAGAGTGCCGGAGCTCATTAGCATAACTCATTAGCAAATGCCACACCCCCTGACATCACCGGAAGTGTGTCATAAGGCCACACCCCCTGACATCACTAGAAGTGTGTCATAAGGCCACACTCCCTGACATCACCAGAACCTCTTGATGACTGTTTTTTGTTTCTTCTCCTTGGCCCTTTCAGACTGTTGGTTATGGTCCAGCTCCTTCTCTTCCTGTCATATGACTCTGATATCACATCCCGGGATGCTCCTTTGTGAGCGACTGGCATTAAAGCTATGAGTGAGCAATTTGGCTACTGCATAAATTAGTTTGCTCTGGAGGCATCTTTCCTGAATTAAGATTAAAATGTATGAGTCGGAGGCTAAAAAACTGTTAGCTACCTTGCACTTAGAGGAAACACTGGACAAAACCCAGGTGCCCTCAGGAGGTCCACCAGCAGGGCCAAAGGTCCAGCAGGGCCCTCCCACTCTTGCCCCCCAAGCACCAAGAATGCAGAGCATCACTGCGCCAGACATAAGAACATAAGAGAAGCCATGTTGGATCAGGCCAGTGGCCCATCCAGTCCAACACTCTGTGTCACACATCAGCCAAAAATACCAGGTGCCCTCAGGAGGTCCAGCAGTGGGGCCAGAACACCAGAAGCCCTCCCATTGTCCCCCCCCCCAAGCACCAAGAATACAGAGCATCCCTTGCCCCAGACATAAGAACATAAGAGAAGCCAATGCTGGATCAGGCCAATGGCCCCTCCAGTCCAACACTCTGTTACACAGGGGCCAAAAATACCAGGGGTCCCAGGAAGCGCTGGGAGGGGTGGCTGGGCCTCCCAGGGCGCCGCGGATCTCCACTGTCCCAGGAAGCGCTGGGAGGAGTGGCCGGGCCTCCTGGGGCGGCACAGATTTCTGCAGCCCCGGGAAGTGCAGGGAGGGGTGGCCGGGCCTTCCAGGGCCGCCTCATCCACGCTGCTCCAGGCGGCGTGGACAAGGCAGGGAGGCGGATGGGGGCCTCATCCACGCCGCTCCAGGCGGTGCAGACGAGGCAGGGAGGGGGCCTCA